TTTTTTTTCTTCTTTTTCTTTAATGCTTGTTTATCAAGCAATGCCTTGCACTTGGTTTTTCAGTTTATAAAAATCTAGACTGCCATCTCTTCATTATTATTCTTTATTAATGGGGCTTAAGATTCATTTTTTTTCCTGTAATTCTTGATGCTGAATTCTGTTCTATATGTGAATTCTAAACCAAGAACTCTTAATTGATACAGATGTTTAAAATCTGATACAGTATCGTTGTATATTCTTCTATTACAGGCTGCAAGGATGCGTTTTATGTATAGAAATGAACCATATTGCCTGAATCTCATCGATACACCTGGTCATGTTGACTTCTCCTATGAGGTATGTTTTTTCGGACATGTAAAAGTTTTTTTTCCTGCAAAGTTATCTCATATTGGCTGGCAGTTGAAAATATAGTCCTGTAGTGTGGCTTTAATTAGATGTTATATGAACTGAATATATCCACATACAAAGAAAAAGAACCACTAGGAAAATAAAATATCCCGTCTGTGGTTCCCATGATGGTTGTTATTTTGATGATAAATCATATACTCATTGGCTAATTATTTATTAGTTATTTGTTTATATGTACTTTGGAATGGCATGGTCCCTTTATGGGAAGCTTATAAATAGAACAAATGGAGAGGACTGACCTGGAAGAGGTATATATAGTATATTATAAATTCATTACTTGGAGAAGAGTTGGTAATATTGTTGATGATGCTCTTCCTAATGTGTATAGTTCTGCACTTATGATTTGGATAATTGAAAAAAAAAAAAGATAACCGATTGACCATGTCATGATTTGTCATACAGAAAACTGTTACTTTTATTAGTTTATGTATTATCCCTATTTTTGAAATGTTTTCAGGTCTCACGCTCTCTGGCCGCCTGTGAAGGTGCTCTTCTAGTAGTAGATGCCTCCCAGGTACTTTCTTCTTCTCACATCTGGACATCAACTTTTCTATCTTCCAAGGATCATAACCCTTTTCCAATCTACACAGGAAAAGGAAAAAAAAAAATAAAATAAAAAAAATAAAATTAACCAAATAATTAGTCATATCATATAATAGAATATTTGTGTATGTATTCTAAAGTTAGAATATTGTGCATATCTTTTTGTTAAGCATATTAATTTGATTTGATTTGATTTGACATATCTTCCTATGGTTGGTAGATCGTATACATTTTGGTACATATTGTATCTTGATCTTTTCCTCCCACTATAAATTCTGGGAGTTTATACTACACCATATACAATAAGAAAAAATCTTCCCCTTAGTATGATTTTCTCTTTTCTCTCCGACATGGTATCAAAGCGGGTTTTCTATTTTTTGTTTTGTATTTCTTTTCTGCCACTACTACTTTGAGACATTCCATCTCAAAATTTGCTTCTGTATTGAGATAATTTTCTCATTATGGCTTTTGAAACTAAACCTGCTTTGGGAACGACCTTCAAACTTAATGGTCCGAACTATAATTTGTGGTCATGAGCTTTCAAACTCTTTCTCGGGTCACAAAGTAAATTAAATCATATTCTATATGCTGCTCGTGATTTGAATGATGATGGTTATGCCACTAGGATGCAAGCTGATTTTCTGTAATTACTTGGCTTCTTTATAGCATGGAAGAATTGTGAGCACCAATATTATGTTTTAAACTCTACGAAGGAGATTTGGGATACTTTACATGCTATGTACTCTAACGAAAAGAACGTCTCTCGTTTGTTTGAACTATATGAACAATTGTTCTCTCTTCGTCAAGCATCTTAAGACAACAGATGAAATTTTGTTATACCATCCATTGTCTTTTGATGCCTCAACAAACCATCCATTGTCTTGTGATGCCTCGACCCAGAAAATCAATGGGAAGGGTTCCTTCACGCAAAATTTGTACAGATTGGATTCCTCATTTCTACAGTTCGGGACAATTTATTGTCTAGTGATGCTATACGCAGCCTTTCTGGTGCTTTGTGTTTTGTTATTCGAGTTTCCACAGGACGACTTGATCATAATCTCCCATTCGGATTACAGGACGACTTAATCTCCCATTGGCATTTGAAAATTATTCACTAGCGACTCGTAGTCGTGAGCTCGTGGCAGGTGTGGTGGTCTTAGTCGCGAAATAGACTCATCTAGAGGCCTTTACTCTTGTGTTCATCATGGTCGCTCTAATCTTGTGTCTGAGAAGTGTTGGGGTGAAATTTGACAAGCCCAAGAAACACTATATCTGATGATCGGGAATCAGCACCTCCAGGTTTGGTATGATACGTGCTGAATATGAGAAAGTGATTACTTCCGCTGGTAACTCTTCTACAACGCTTCTTCCATTGGCTTCTTCCATTGGTGGGTTTGCTGTTACTCATGGTAATTCCTGTATGTTGGATCTGAGTGCCACTCTTAGTCCCTGCTCCTTCACAGCTTGGCTGCTCTGTTTGCAGCCCTGACTGTTCAGGTAAGCAAAAATTCTTCCAACACAAACAGACACTTTTAGGATGGAAGAAGAAGATTGTGAACAACTCAATGTATTGAGTATTCAGTTTTTCTATATGTTTACAAATAAAAATTACATCCCTATTTATAAGAATTAAAAACAACTACCTTAGTGACTTTTCTTGAAATTACTTAAGTTGAAAAGTCAGCCTAAAATGGTTGACATGAAAATGCTCTGCATCTGCAAGGAAGTTGCAGTGCAGTAACAAGGAAACTGCATGGATTATATCTTACAATTCTTCCCCAATTCTTCCCCAATGTTGCTGCTCTTGCTTGTTTTCCACCATTCCAATCTTGGTCCTTAGCTCCATGAACCGAAGACGGCCGAGTGGCTTGGTAAGGATGTCTGCGAGCTGCCTTCCGGATTCGACAAATTCCAAAACAATCTGTCCTTCATTGACACTATCACGGATGAAGTGAAAATGGGTATCAATGTGCTTGCTCCGGTCATGGAGGAGTGGATTTTTTGCAAGGGCAATGGCGGGCTGGTTGTCCACCATATGGTGGACGAGCTTCCTCGCCAGTTAGTTCAACCAGCAACTGACGCAGCCAGACCTTCTGGCACGCCGCTGTGGCTGCCGCTACGTACTCCGCCTGGCACGTTGACAGCGCCACGATCTTCTGTCTCATGGTCAGCGACCGCCATGAGATTGGGGCCGATCCAAGGAAGACGAGCACACCGGAGGTGCTCTTCCGCCATCAATGTCGCCTGCCATGTCTGCGTCGCTGAAAACCGTGAGTCGCAGCCCACTTCTGCCGCCGATCTTGGGGAAAATGATGCCCTGGTCCACCGTCCCCTTGACATAGCGCAACAGCCGTTTTACTGCAACTCAATGATCCTCTCGGGGGTCCTCCATGAAGCGGCTGACATAGCCCACGGCGAATGCGATATATGGCCTCGTGTGGACTAGGTAGCGCAGCCTGCCGACGATACTCCGGTAGAGTGTTGCATCCACCTTCCCCGCGGTGCTGGCTTTCGTCAGCTTCAGCCGCTCCTCCATCGAAGTCGCGCATGACTTGTAGTCAGCCATGCCGCTCCGCTCCAACAGCTTCCCCGCATACGCACGCTGGCAGAGAGTGATGAAGTCTCTCCTCTGCTTCACCTCGATGCCGAGGTAGTAGGAGAGCTGCATCAGATCGCTCATGCGGAAACGAGTTGCCATCTCGCGCTTGAAGCTGTTGATGTTCTCTTCTCGTGCCCCGGTAATGATTAAGTCATCCACATACAAGCCAACGACGAGCTCCTCCTTCCCCCTTCATTGCGTGTAGAGCGCGTGTTCTGTTGCACAGCGCGTGAACCCAAGCGCACCCAGGATGGTATCGAGCTTGGCATTCCACGCTCGTGGGGCTTGTCGCAGCCTATAGAATGCCTTCCGCAGCCGTAGCACCTTGTGCTCCTCTCCCTTGGCGGCGAAGCCCGAAGCTTGCTTGACGAAGACAGTCTCCGCTAGCTCGCCGTTGAAGAAGGCCGATTTCACGTTTAGGTGATGAATGCGCTAGTCCTTCGTTGCCAATGCACAAGGCGAACTGACTCCATGCGCGCCACTGGTGCAAAAACTTCCTCAAAGTCGATGCCTTCACGTTGGACGAAACCGCGAGAAATGAGGTGCGCCTTGTGCATGACTATGGCGCCACACTCGTTCCGCTTGACCTTGTAGACCCATTTGAGCCCAATTGGATGACAGCCTGGAGGTGGATCGACGAGCTCCCATGTCTCATTTTCGTCGATCGACTAAATTTTCCCCTAGCATAGCTCGTCTCCAACTGACATCGCGCTCGGCCTACGTGAAATTCGATGGCTCCTCTGCGCTGACGAGGAGCAGCTCCTGATCGTCGAGTAATCGGGTCGCCAAGCCTGGTACAACCGAGTTGCCAACGAGGTTGTCCATCATGCAAAACATCACCTCCTCACCGTCGTGGAAGGCACCCACATACTCGTCGATGTCGCTTGATGGAGAGGCGAACTCAACTGTCGTCGCTGGAGGTGTCCCCTGTCATGCCGCAGCAGGGGACTGTGGTGGGGGCGTGTGCGCAGTCGCTGGTGAAGACTCTTTGCCCGTGCCCGCCATGACCGGACTTTGCTGCTCAACCGACTCTGCCACAGCTGCTGGACTTGGTGCGTCCGCAGCTGGCTCCTTTGCTCCCGCATCTCCTCCTCCGTGGATCACCAAATGCTCGATGACAAACGTACCGCCGACGCCACGAGCTTCCCTCGTGCTAGGATTCTCCCAATCCCAGGCAGCCATTTCGTCGAACACCACATCCCGCGAGACCACCACCTTGCCTCTACGCGGATCGTAGAGCCGATAGGCCTTACTCCCCTCCTCGTATCCTAGGAACACCATCGGTGTGCTACTATCCTCAAGTTTGGACAGGAAGGGCTTCGTCTTCTTGACATGGCCAATGCACCCAAACGTCCTTAGAAACGAGACGTCGAGCTACCTACCATGGCAAGCTTCGAATAGTGTCATGCCTTTCAGGGCCTTCGTGGGCGCACGGTTGAGGATGAACACCGTCGTGCTCACAGTCTCTCCCCAAAACTCCGCTGGCATGCCTTTTGCTTTCATCATACTTCGGGCCATGCCTACCACGGTCTGATTCTGTGATGGCGCATCAACCCTAGTTTGCACAGTATGCGGCGAATTCCACCGATGTGAACTTGCCACCACGATCCGTCCTCAGCACACGTAGCCGCTTCCCGGACTCTGCATCAGCCCGCGCCTGGAACCGCTTGATTGCTTCCGTCGCCTGATCCTTACTCGTCAGGAGCTGCAGCCACATGAAACGGCTACAGTCGTCCACGAGAAGTAGCGCCGTCCGCCATGCGTAACCGGCGTGATCGGCCCGCATAGGTCGCCGTGGACGAGCTCGGGGACGTCCGCCACACGATACTTGGCCGCCTTTGGGAAAGGCAGCCGCCTCTGCTTCCCTGCCAGGCAGCTGTCACACAGCTTGCCTGCGTGCTCGATGTGCGGGAGCCCGCGCACCATCTTCCTCAGCCGACCGAGTGCGTCGAAGCTCAAATGGCCGAACCGAGCATGCCATAGCCATGTCTACTCGGTGTGCCGTACCGCCAAGCACACCGGCTGCTCCACTTTCAAGTCAAGGAGGTAAAGGCAGTTTTGGGAACGTTGGATCATGGCCAGCAGCCGCTGTTCTCGGTCCCTGAGCTTTAGCACTCCGCCTTTGACAAGCACCTCGCAGCCGTGCTCGTCCAGATGCCCGATGCTGACGATGCTTGAATGCAACTGCGGGATATTGTACACATCCGTCAATGCACGGTGCTCGATGTTCTGGAACCGGAAGATGACGGTGCCGCGACCTCGAATCTCCACCTTCGATCCGTCGCCAAACTTTACCGTCCCCGTTACGTCGTCATCAAGTGTGAGCGTCCTGGTCCAGTTTGGGGCAAATTGATTCTTTTCCTCGCTGGTAGAATGCCGGAAACCTGCAAATAACTCTCACACCGGGGTTGTGTCCGGTGAAGAGCCTCCGATGATTAAGTCAGTATGTGTATGAATATAAGAAAATTAGACTCTTTTCATCAGCCTTGAGTTGAGGATTCTGACCTACCTCGATGACCATAATGTTAAATTATAATTTTGTTAGTGTTACTTATTGTTAGTTTTGTTTTTTTTTTTTTTTTTT